TCAGGCTGAACTGGGTTTGACCCAAAGCTTACCTCATCTCTGTTCCATTTTTCTGTACGTGCCTGAAAATGGGAAAACTAATGCAGCCACATTTTTTCAGACTCGGTTATGTTGCAATATATTATATTTTTTGCTCTTGGATTTGGATACACTTTAAATCCATATTCCTTTCACATTGTAACATTTTGAAAAGGTAAGAAGTTGAATACTTTGGGCACTCTATCTGCCTACTCAGTCTATGTTCTCTTCTCATTACAGATCTCCCCCTCGGCTTTTCTCTGGATTCTGACATTGTTCATCCCGTCCGGGTGGATGAGCATGGCTCTTTCCTGACCTTTGACCTAACTCCCCGCAACCTGCAGAAGAGAGGACTATCTTCCGGCTCGGTGCCCACCCACTTATTACGAGATCAGATACCAGGGAGTGGAGCTGACCTTCAACCTCAGCCAGAACCACCAGCTCTTGGCTCCGGGCTATGTGAGCGAATGGCGCAGTGGAGGCCTCAAAGAGACAAGGGTTGTCAGCCGACCTTCTGGCTCATGCCACATGGTGGGGGCAGTTCAGGCGCACCACCAGCTTGTTGGCAATGCCGCTATTAGTATCTGCAGCGGACTGGTAAGGACCTTCTTCTTCTTCTTCTCCTCCTTTGTAACATTTGTGGTCATAATAGCATTTATCGCAGAGGTCTACAGGCTTAGGAAATAGATTTACGCATGTCGGTGTTTCGGTTTTACTGAAATATTAGCTATATTGTGAAAAGATTCATGAGTGTAAGAGGATCGATTTCCAGTAGATGTCTCGAATTTTAACTTCCTCAGTCCTTATATTTCTAGCTTCCAATTTATGAGGATGAGACATATCTACTTAACCAGTTGCCATCCATAGGGCCATATAGAAAGGTCCTGGACTTCTAGCAGTGCTGTTTTTTTTCTGCATGCTCCTGGCTTTTTTTCAGTAAAAGTGATCCAGGAGGCTATAGAGCCGACTGATCGCTTTTACAGCAATGAGATGGTGCCATCTTCCTTCCTGCTGCTCAGAAAGCTCAGAAAAAAATGTGTTAGGATAGAAAGGGGGAGCAGATCAGGGAACACTGGGGATCCACTCTGCATGCAATGAACCTAGGAGCGCTCAGCTCTGAGCATTTCCGTATTCAAAGGCGTCCAACTCCTGGCTGAAAAGCCGGGTGAACAGCCAATCAAGAACAGTCCTGTGCTTGATTTGTTGGAGTGGGAGAGCAGGGAAGACATTATAGGTCCAATAGACACCTGATTTCTCCATAAAGAGAACCTGTCACTTGCCAATGCTATCACATACAGTAGAGGGCTTGTTAGCCCCTTGTCATAGCAATAAAGTTAACCCCTTGGCGCTGGCGCCTTCCGGCCCTTTAAGGGTTTCAGAAGTCGGGAGGTGGGGCGGGGTTTTAGAGTCATGTGACCGCCGTGATTCGCCGTCACGGCGGTCACATGATCGGGAAAAGTCCCGATCAAAAGAGGAGATCGGGACCTTTCCGTGAGCACAGGACATGTGTGCTGGGAGCGCGAAGGGTGCACGCTCTCAGCACATATGTTTTTCTTAATTGCACGCAAATGTGCGGCTCCACGGCATCTAGGCGCAGACGCCGGGAGGCCGCACATTTGTGTGGAGCTGGCGTGAAAAGGTTAAAGTGGTTGTAAAGCCTTCCATATACCCAGTGACTGGCCTCAGGTGATGCACAGAGATGAAGCAAAACCTCCTGCATAAGTTGTACCTGTTTATCTGCAGTCTTCTTTTCTATACATCCGTTCAAAGTCTAGAATTTATAAAGCTTGTCTGAGCTGTCAGAAAAAGGGGACAGAAAGCATGAAAATACACTCTGCAGAACTCAGTGAGGATAGCTCTGAAGACTGATTGGAGGGAAGGAACACCCCCCTCCACACAGCACAAAGGGGCAGAGCTGCTGGAGGTCCCTCTCCTGCAGGGGCGGTCTGACCATTTGGGAACTCAGGCACTGCCCGAGGGCCCTGGGTCAGAAGGGGGCCCCATGAGATTCACCTGGTACCTTTTTCATAGGCTTTTTGGGTGTGGTTTGAGTGTGAGCAAGGACACAGGGGCCCCATGGTCCCCTATTGCCCAGGGGCCCCATGAGTTTTCAGTCCACCCCTGCTCTCCTGTCACCATTTTTCTCTTGGTGTCAGGAAAACTTGTCAGAAGTGACTCATGCAGGGGAAGGAGCTAGCAGACAGAAATGACACTTAGTGCTCTGAACTGAGACACGTACACACTACAGAGGGATATGCTTTGTTCATGTTTCATGTTTTGAGTTTTATATCTAATGTAAAATGAAAAAAAAAAAAAAATAAAAGTGTTAAGATTTTAAAAAAAAAGTAACTTATAATAAAATAAATACAAATATAAAAAAAATGTAAAGGCAACCCATCACCTTGCACACACATGTGAACATAAATGGGCCTGCAAGGCACACATGTGAATGTAAACAGCGATTGTACCAGACGTGTGAAGCATCACCATGAACATCATAATGTGAGCAATAATTCTAAGGCCATCCTTCAGCCGGGGTTCACACTTCTGCGGTGCAGAACATCGCATGTGATTCGGTCAGGAACCGCACCGCATTCACGTGAAAATCACATGCGAATTCTGTGCGGTACATTTTGCATGGCTCAAATCGCACCGCATCCGCACAAAAAAAGGTGCAGGACCCTTTTTTATGTCCTGCACCAGAATCGGATCACACGGTTATTCACACCCATGTGATCCGATTCTGCACATCGCAACGCATTTTGCAACCCATTTTCGGGGTGTTGTTAACTTAACATACACCCCCGCAGCGGTTTGCATGAGCGGCGTGCGATTTGATGTGGTGCGAAGTTCGCACAGAAACCGGTGAAAATTCTGCACCGCATCAGTGTGAACCCGAGCTCACAGATAACCCGAGCAAACTGATGACCTGTAAAGGCTTTTAAAGTGTTGTCTAGACAGTTTGGGGTACTGTCAGTTTTTAGCCATTTCACAAGGCGAGCGCAATTTGAAGGTTTGACATGTTTGGTGTCTATTTGCTCAGTGCTATCTCATCTTCTCTATTTTACCAAAAATTGGGTATTATATTGTGTTTTGTGTGCATAAAAATTCATTTAAAGTTTTTTTTCCTGAAAAAATAGAGTTTATAAACATTTGTGCAAATACTGAAAAAAAAATGCATCTGCCACCATATTATTCTACAGGGCCTCTGATTTCAGAAAATATATAATTGTTTGGGGATTTTAAGTAATTTTCTAGCACGAATGTCATATTTATCTGTGTGAAAAATTTTAAGTGTTACTAAACCCTGGACCCCGCATTCACTATATCCGCTCTCCCCGGACCCCGCATTCACTATATCCGCTCTCCCCGGACCCCGCATTCACTATATCCGTTCTCCCCGGACACTGCATTCACTATATCCACTCTCCCCGGACCCCACATTCACTGTATCCGCTCTCCCCGGACCCCGCATTCACTATATCCGCTCTCCCCGGACCCCGCATTCACTATATCCGCTCTCCCTGGACCCCGCATTCACTATATCCGTTCTCCCCGGACACTGCATTCACTATATCCGCTCTCCCCGGACCCCGCATTCACTATATCCGCTCTCCCCGGACCCCGCATTCACTATATCCGCTCTCCCCGGACCCCGCATTCACTATATCCGCTCTCCCCGGACCCCGCATTCACTATATCCGCTCTCCCTGGACCCCGCATTCACTATATCCGTTCTCCCCGGACACTGCATTCACTATATCTGCTCTCCCCGGACCCCGCATTCACTATATCCGCTCTCCCCGGACCCCGCATTCACTATATCCGCTCTCCCCGGACCCCGCATTCACTATATCCGCTCTCCCCGGACCCCGCATTCACTATATCCGCTCTCCCTGGACCCCGCATTCACTATATCCGTTCTCCCCGGACACTGCATTCACTATATCCGCTCTCCCCGGACCCCGCATTCACTATATTTGCTCTCCCCCCGGACCCCGCATTCACTATATTCGCTCTCCCCGGACCCCACATTCACTATATCCGCTCTCCCCGGACCCCGCATTCACTATATCCGCTCTCCCCGGACCCCGCATTCACTATATCCGCTCTCCCCGGACCCCGCATTCCTATATCTGCTCTCCCCGGACCCCGCATTCCCTATATCCGCTCTCCCCGGACCCCGCATTCACTATATCCGCTCTCCCCGGACCCCGCATTCACTATATCTGCTCTCCCCGGACCCCGCATTCACTATATCCGCGCTCCTCAGACCCCGCATTCACTATATCCGCTCTCCCCCGGACCCCGCATTCACTATATCCGCTCTCCCCGGACCCCGCATTCACTATATCCGCTCTCCTCAGACCCCGCATTCACTATATCCGCTCTCCCTGGACCCCGCATTCACTATATCCGCTCTCCCCGGACCCCGCATTCACTATATCCGCTCTCCCCGGACCCCGCATTCACTATATCCGCTCTCCCCGCATCGATTTTGGACTGTCTATGCAGTAAGGAGAGTTAGCCCCTACAATTCCTTTTTTGAACCTTCAGATATCAAACACCAGAACGTTGCCACCATAAGCAGAACAGAGACAAGGCGGCTCCTCTGACATGCCGGAGACTCGGGAGCCTCATGGGGGTTCCCCAGGTGTGCGGTGTGACATGTCTGAAGGGTGTGTAATTCCAGGTGTGCGGGGTCACCGTTGGCGGGGGTGGGGTGGGGGGGTGCCAGGTGTTCCGGAGCCTCGCAGGGCTCAGACATCTGCTGTAAAGTGATCAGAGGACATGCTTAGTGCTTCATCCCTGCCTGCAGGCACATTGAGTGTCATGTAACCCTTTCCTGCACCCAGGTCCAGATCTGACATTAATCCTCTTCTTCTTTCTCTAAGAGAGGCGTCTTCCAGCTGGATCATGAAGATTTCATCATAGAGCCGGTGACAACAACAGCGCCACCATCAGGGGAAGCCATGCCTCATCGGATCTACAGGCGCCATTTAGCTGAAGGGCAGCAACCAGGGTACAGGAGCTGCGGTGTGAGGGGTAATGTTTGGGGAGGTCACTTCTTCTCATCTCCCTTGCACCTAAACGTTTATAATACCAATCCAGACATGTGGGGGTCCTGGGAAGAAAGGGGAGCGTTTAGGTCCCGCCAATGGCTGATAGTTCTGACGCTTCCATCACCCGCCATATGTGGGATTTCCTAAATCTGCCTGAGAAAGAGTCTCACTTCTCCTGTTGGATTTTTTTTGCCATATAGTTTATGTTATGGAGAAGGCAGAACACTGAGATATTTTATCCTGCAGCAGGAGGAGTGAGACTCTATGGCAGGGGTGTCCAAACTATGGCCCTCCAGGTGTTGAGGAACTGCAAGTCCCATGAGGCCTTGCAAGACTCTAACATCCACAGGCAAGACACCCAGAGGCAGAGGCATGATGGAACTTGTAGTACTTCAACAGCTGGAGGGCCATAGTTTGGACACTCCTGCTCTAATGGGATCTGTTTAAAAAAAAAAAACATCTGTGCTTTTCCATTTATTCAGTGCAATTGGGCAAAAAACAAATGTTCTTTAGGCTATTGTCTTCTGAGCAAATGTTCTTTTATTATGGGTGGTAACAAATTATCACATTAAAGTGGAGCTCCACCCAAAAAAGGGAAGTGCTGCTTTAAGGACTCCTCCCCAACTCCTGTTTGTGAAATGGAGCTTTTAGGGGAGCGGGGGGGGGGGGGGCAGGTACCCACTCCCTCTTCCACTCTGACCACCTAACTCTCCAAACGCATGCAGCCCTTTGCTTGCTTTTATCGGGCCCTACTTCATCCAATGATATCAACAATGGGGTATAATTCCCCCACTGACACCAACAATGGGGTATATTTCCCCCACTGACACCAACAATGGGGCACAATTCCTCCCAATGACACCAACAATGGCGCACAATTCCTCCCACTGACACCAACAATGGGGCACAATTCCTCCCACTGACACCAACAATGGGGCACAACTCCTCCCAATGACACCAACAATGGGGCACAATTCCTCCCACTGACACCAACAATCGGGCACAACTCCTCCCAATGACACCAACAATGGGGCACAACTCCTCCCAATGACACCAACAATGAGGCACAATTCCTCCCACTGACACCAACAATGGGGTATATTTCCCCCACTGACACCAACAATGGGGCACAATTCCTCCCAATGACACCAACAATGGGGCACAATTCCTCCCACTGACAACAATGGGGCACAATCCTCCCACCCAATGACACCAACAATGGGGCACAATTCCTCCCACTGACACCAACAATCGGGCACAATCCTCCCAATGACACCAACAATGGGGCACAACTCCTCCCCCACCAACAATGAGGCACAATTCCTCCCACTGACACCAACAATGGGGTATATTTCCCCCACTGACACCAACAATGGGGCACAATTCCTCCCAATGACACCAACAATGGGGCACAATTCCTCCCACTGATACCAACAATGGGGCACAACTCCTCCCAATGACACCAACAATGGGGCACAACTCCTCCCAATGACACCAACAATGGGGCACAATTCCTCCCACTGACACCAACAATGGGACACAATTCCTCCCACTGACACCAACAATGGGGCACAAGTCCTCCCAATGACTACAACAATGGGGCACAAATCCTCCAACTGACACCAACAATGGGGCACAAATCCTCCAACTGACACCAACAATGGGGCACAATTCCTCCCACTGACACCAACAATGGGGCACAATTCCTCCCACTGACACCAGCAATGGCGCACAACTCCTCCCAATGACTACAACAATGGGGTACAATTCCTCCAACTGACACCAACAATGGGGCAGAATTCTTCCCACTGACGCCAACAATGGGACACTTTTCCTCCCACTGACATAGAAAATGAGGCGCAATTCCTCCCACTGACACCAAAGATGGGACATTATCTATTCCCACTGATGTCGAGACCTTTTCTACACCCAATGGGCCGCCCTAAAGTCTGAAGGAAAGTAAACAGGCCCTTTGGTTAGAAAGTTTGGAGACCCGTGGCCTAGGCAATCGGAAGTGGAAGTTCTCCCCCTCTCCGTAGTCTTCTGGGACACGTGACAGGTTCTAGAAGACTGCCGGACCATTCACAGTGCGCAGCGGCACCCGACTGTGAAGCCGCAGTGGAGCCCTAAAATGTCGGATAAGGTCAACAGAGTTACATTTTTTTTAAAAAAGGTATAAAAAGCATCATCTGTCCGTCATGATATATACAGTCATGGCCTAAAATCTTGCCCCCCCCCCCCCCCCCCCGCATTTCTGTCAGATAACGCCCAGAAAATTACAAATGTTTCGGCATTCTCATGTTTATTTCTTTTGTTTGTATCGGTGACACAAAAATTGGAGAAAAAAAAAGCCAAACATGACACATTCCATGCAAAACCCCAAAAATGGACCGGATATAATTATTGGCACCTCCATGTAATATCTGGTAGTACACCCCTTGGAAAAATTACCTGAAATCAATGGCTTCCTGGAACCATCAATGAGTTTCTTCCACCTCTGTACTGGAAGTTTGGATCGCTCTTCTTTCACCAACTGCTCCAGGTCTCTCACATTGGAAGGTTCCTTTCCACAACTGCTGTTCTGAGATCTCTCCAGAGGAGCTCTATGGGATGGAGATCTGGACTCATTGCTGGCCAGTTCAGTCCTCTCCAGCGCTTTGTCTGACACCATTTTTGGGGGCTTTTTGACGTGTGCTTTGGGTCATTGTCCTGCTGGAAGACCCATAACCTCTGATGGAGACCCAACTTTCTGACACCGGGCCCTACATTGCACCTCAGGATTCTTTGGTAGTCTTCAGATTTCACAATGCCATGCACACGGCCAAGACATCCAGTGCCTGAAGCAGCAAAGCAACCCCAAACCATCAGTGACCCCCCCACCATGTGTGACTGGAGGGACTGTGACTCCCCACCATGTGTGACTGGAGGGACTGTGACCCCCCACCATGTGGACTGGAGGGACTGGATTCTTTTCTTTAAAAGCCTCATTTCTTTTTCTGAAAACAGTAGAATGACGGTTTTTCCTAAAAAGCTGCCATTTTGTTCCGTCTGTCCACAGCACATTCTCCCAGAAGGGTTTTGGCTTCCTCCGGTAAGTTTTGGCAAACTCCAATCTGGCTTTCAATATATTTCTGTGTCAGCAGTGGGGTCCTCCTGGGTCTTTCGCCATATTTCTGTGTCAGCAGTGGGGTCCTCCTGGGTCTTCTACCATATTTCTGTGTCAGCAGTGGGGTCCTCCTGGGTCTCCTCCCATATTTCTGTGTTATTACTGGGGTCCTCCTGGGTCTCCTGCCATATTTCTGTGTCAGCGGTGAGGTCCTCCTGGGTCTTCCGCCATATTTCTGTGTCAGCAGTGGGGTCCTCCTGGGTCTCCTACCATATTTCTGTGTCAGCAGTGGGGTCCTCCTGGGTCTCCTCCCATATTTCTGTGTCAGCAGTGGGGTCCTCCTGGGTCTCCTACGATACTTCTGTGTCAGCAGTGGGGTCCTCCTGGGTCTCCTACCATACTTCTGTGCCAGCAGTGGGGTCCTCCTGGGTCTCCTACCATATTTCTGTGTCAGTGGTGGGGTCCTCCTGGGTCTCCTACCATATTTCTGTGCCAGCAGTGGGGTCCTCCTGGGTCTCCTCCCATATTTCTGTGTTAGTAGTGGGGTCCTCCTGGGTCTCCTACCATATTTCTGTATCAGCAGTGGGGTCCTCCTGGGTCTCCTACCATATTTCTGTATCAGCAGTGGGGTCCTTCTGGGTCTCCCACCATAGTGTCCCTTCTCAATCAGATGGCAACGTATAGCAGGAGCGGACACAGTTGTACCCGGTGACTGAAGGTCAGCTTGGATTTTGTCTGGAAGTTGATCGAGGTTCTTTAACCACCATTCCAACAATCCTTCGTTGCAATCTTTGATCATTTTTCCTCTTTCATCCACGTCCAGGGAGATTAGCTACAGTGCCATGGGCTGTAAATGTCTTGACAATGTTGCGCACAGTGGACACAGGAACAATGAGATCTCTGGAGGTGGACTTGAAACCTTGAGATTGTCCATGCTTTTCCACCATTTTGGTTCTCCAATCCTCAGACAATTCTTTGCTGCTCTCTCTCTCCTCCATGCCCCATGTGGCACACAGAGACACCCAACAGGAAGGTGGAGGCCATTTGTCACCATTGTCCCCGGTTGTCGGTGTGATTTCTATGTTGTCAGCTCCTGGTCATGGATACGGGGGAGTTTAATGACAAATTCCAGGAACATCACAAACTTGGAATGCAATAATTTCTTACAATTTTGAGAAGATGCCAGTAATTTTGTCCGGTGTATTTTTGGGGTTTTGCGTGGAATGGGTCAGATTTAGCTTTTTGTTTCTCCACTTTTTTTGGTGTCATACCGATACAAACACAAGAAATAAACACGAGAATGCCGAAACATTTGTCATTGCGACAATTTTTTCGGTGAGGTGGTTATCTGACAGAAATGCCAGGGGTGCCAATATTTTTGTCCATGACTGTATTTTCATATTGATATACTAGTAAAGAGTCTCCTGAGAAAACGCAGGTGACAGTGTTTCATTTTAGCTACATTTCTTTTTTTATCTTATAAACTTTTATTTGTTATTTTCTAAACTGATACAAATAATTAAAATGAAAGAAAATGACATTAACTTTTGGATAACATTTAGGCCCCATGTACACAGGACACTTCTGAACGATGGAAACTGACTGCTGGAAAACGTAGGTTAAAAAAACACCTGTTTAGCCGCTTTTGCATAACGCATTTATGTGCGTTTGCGTTTAGAAGCGTTTTTTTAAAGATAAGCACAGGAGAACCTTTCAAATGCCCAGAATGCAATGAAAAGTGGTAAATTATTAACTATTTCAGACTGTTTCAGAGAAATACAGAGAGTAGAAGCAGAGACAGCAGTATGTGTTGAGATTAGCTTAGGTGTGAGTTGCTCATTGACATTTCTTTTGTTTCCAAGGGTGGGAAAGATGTCTGGTGGAGGGAGTCATTAAGGCCACCTGGCAGGCGGTCTTCATGAGGAATTTGAGGTGTAAATGGTCATTAACATATCTTTTGTTTCCAAGGGTGGGAGAGGTCTGAGGTATGAATAGTCATTAACATATCTTTTGTTTCCAAGGGTGGGAGAGGTCTGAGCTGTGAATGGTCATTAACATATCTTTTGTTTCCGAGGGTGGGAGAGGTCTGAGGTGTGAATGGTCCTTAACATATCTTTTGTTTCCGAGGGTGGGAGAGGTCTGAGGTGTGAATGGTTATTTGCATATCTTTTCTTTCCAAGGGTGGGAGAGGTCTGAGGTGAGAATGGTCATTAACATATCTTTTGTTTCCAAGGGTGGGAGAGGTCTGAGGTGTGAATTGGTCATTAACATATCTTTTGTTTCCAAGGGTGGGAGGTCTGAGGTGTGAATGGTCATTAACATATTTTTGTTTCCGAGGGTGGGAGAGGTCTGAGGTGTGAATGGTCATTAACATATCTTTTTTTTCCGAGGGTGGGAGAGGTCTGAGGTGTGAATGGTCATTAACATATATTTTCTTTCCAAGGGTGGGAGAGGTCTGAGGTGTGGATGGTCATTAACATATCTTTTGTTTCCAAGGGTGGGAGAGGTCTGAGGTGTGAATGGTCATTAACATATCTTTTGTTTCCAAGGGCGGGAGAAGTCTGAGGTGTGAATTGGTCATTACAATGTGTGACAGGCTTGGTAGGAACATCCTGTGTTCAGTGTTTTGTCCATTTGAGTACCTTGAAAACACTTTCCATGCATTTTTCATGATGAAAAAAGGCTCTGGACAGCATTGGGGAATGGAAAAGTTAGAAAAAAATTTCAGCCGCAAACGCTTATAAACGCAATTTGACGCGTTTACAAGCATTTTGCGTTTGAAACGCTGATAAAATCAACTGCTGAATGCAAATTTGGTGCGTTCAAAAAAACGACTGTAAACTCAACTGCCTGTAAACGACTGTAAATGAAGATGTCTACATGGACACATAGGAGAACATTAGGGAGGGTTCAGGGGCTGCTGAAAAAAAAACGCAGAACAGCTCCTAAACGTGAGTTTATCAGGTGCAGTGTACATGGGCCCTTAGGAGGGACAACACATTTCTGCCTTTCTGAGACAACTTGACGCAGGTAACCATTCAGATCCTTGTCTAGGACAATCGAATGTCCTAGTTGAGTCTGTTTCCTGTTCTCATCCTTCAGTCGTAATTCCGAAGGGATGTGATACTAAAACGACCAGAAAGCGTTCTCATGGAGGATATATCTGTGATAAATGCTCAGTAGCTGGCGGAGTTCCATGTATACGAGCAAAAGGATGTGGCGGTTCCCATTTATATTTAAAGCGTTCCGTCTCTGGAGGAACGTACATGGGAACTTGGATGTGGTCGCCTTCATATGACCATTATACAGATCGCTGGAGAAGATCGCATTGCTGCAGACATAATCTGA